GTTTCATTTCCAATGTGTAGCTATCGCAAATTCCTGAAAATTCGATCGAGTTGTCAAGTTGTACAATTTCTAGTTTTTTGTATTGTACATAATTCTGTGTACGTGATTACCGTAAACGTACACCTAAAGAATAGTCAACCTCACTGCTCTCCAGAGTGGAAATTGTCTTATGGTAAGATGATCAACGACAACAATATCTTAACTCATTACGTATAATGCCCATTGTTAGTCTTAGATCTACTCCAAGAAAGGATTTAAATCATAGCCGGCTTACCTTGACCTAATGCGGATTGAGATTTTACGCATTTTTCCAGGTTTGTGAATCTTCTTCGACGTGCACGTTTTGCCACAATGATTTCGTCACCAGATGCATACTTATTAAACATTCATAAATGTACGTAACTTAGAAATGAAAATAGTGTAATGCGCAGGCCACACCGCGAACCAAGCTAAGCTAACTTAGCTTAGTTCACGTAGCCGGGGCATCTATTCATACATTGGTTCACACCGCGAACTAAGCTAACCGAGCTAAGTAAAATACCGCCCTTCACCCCCGCACGTATCCATCCAAATACTACGTATTTTGTTAGCTTAGTTTTTCATGCAACTACGTGAACTAAGCTAAGTTAGCTAGCTTCCTTCGCGGCCTGGCCTGCCCTTGAGTTGCGCTGTATTCGCACTGATTAACATTAAACACAGACGAAAGTTGTCTAGGGATCAAGTACGATTTTGGTAATTACTGAAAATCTGGTTTTTTGGTCAGTTTCACGTTTGAATTCAAATTATCAGTGCGCTGCACCTGTCAGAAGTTAAAGAAGTGATTTTAACGTGACATAATTTAAAATAAAATTGATGTTTCAAGCGAAGGCAATAACTTTTACGACGACGTGAATAAAATATATATGTAGTCCTCCTTATCGATTTCGATAACCGTGACGCTTTGAAATGAGTTCCTAGTGTGTGTCCTAATATAACTCGGACTCGGCCTGCAGAGTTCAAAATATAGCCATAGGAGGGCTTAGGTCTCTCTATACGTATTTGGCGTTTTTTTATTTCTTGTTTCGAGTCACTTTTCTTCATATGTTTTTACATTTTTATAAACAGTAGAGGTTGCTACCAACCAAGTATTGTTATTTAAACTCAACTTCACAACATGGATTCGTATCGTCGACCTTTTTTTACAAGTCGTGCGCCTGATGGTACGCTACACGCCTGTCCATAACAGTTGCAGTGCCACTCTGAACTTTAAATCGCAAAGATCACTCCCACTGCCCCCGTCACCCTGAGACATAAGTTGGCATGTCCCACATGCCTGTAATTTCATCAGCACCCTTTACCCTTCAAAACCGAAACGCAGTAATGGTCACATTACTGCTTGGCAGCAGAAATAGGTAAGGTGGCAGTAGTTCCCCGGACGAACTCTACTCTACCTGTTGGTAGACCTCCTTGTGAAAGAGAAATTTGTAGTAACAACTATAAATCTCTAATTTACTACCCACCCACTCCCCGAAATGACTATCACTTCTTTGTTAGTGATATATCATCATTATCATCTCAGCCCGTCTTTTGATTTACTGTGTGTAAAGTTAAATTTTATTCTAAAGTGTGAGACGCTAATTTTAGTAATTCCGTAATAATTCGCCTTGGGAGATAATAAACAACATTTTCATGTACATAATGTTTATATTTCGTAATAATTAAAACAACTAAGTGTATCTAATACATAATTATAATCCTATGATATACTATACAATGTGTCCTCGCGCCACAATTCCACATGACGTGCATGCTGCAGTGGTATACACCTTATTCTTTCATTCCTATGTACAGATACGACGCGGGACAATGAATTTGGACACTTTTTTTCGGTTTTTAACACACGTTTTTTAAAAAATTTAAAACCGTCTATTTAGGTTTTCTTTCATCCATGCTTTATTGCGAATTTATTTATATTATTAGTTGTTAGTTCAAAAGTATTACCAGTAATCAGAGCAGGTTGCTTTCGGGTCATTTATTTTAAACGTTATGTCTAATATAGATATGACTTCGGACGTCCCGGATTACGCAATAATGCACAATATTACCAGACAACTAAAGCTGATAAACGGAATACTTTTCATTGTTACTGTTGCTATTAAATATCAAGTTGCTTCAGACACAAAAAGAAATTATATATTGTCTTAAGAATGTCAACTGCTTTCTTGATTCTCGAACTACCGTTCACATCGACTGCAGCCGACGCTTCTTGCAGTTGAACTCTCGACTACACGCAGTTGAACTCTCGACTGCACGCAGTTGATCACGACTGCCCGCATTAAGCAGACGTGCAGTCCATCTGTTGACAGCCTAACTGTACTTTTGATTTGACAAAAATAATAATTTTTCTACTTTTATCGTGCTTATTTTATTTATATTCTGTTTTTCAATAAGTAAATAGTGTTATCCATTCAAATATAACGTTGTGACTCGGATAAACCGCTAAGTACTTAAAAATATATTTCTAATCTCGATGAAAGGTGATTTGTTAAAAAAGTCGTATCCATATTATGACCACATGTCTCAAGTAGCTAAAATAGCGCTCTCTACTCCGATTTCTGCACATTACTTATGCCCATTATCTACTATAGTGGAGAGGAGAATAGGTGCATATCTCCACGGAGCTTTGGCAAAATACCGAAATACTGTTGCTTTATGAAACACAGGTTTTCTCTGATTCACTTTGATAGATAATGGACCTTATGCCAACCCTTCAGTGTCCATTTAATTATTAGACTACAATATCGGACCCCTCATGGAAGAATGGCATAAGTGGAGTTACGTCAAAAATGTTTATTGCTTCATTAGGTATAACCCACATCCTCTCCAAAGATTGAACAATAAGAAAAATGTAAACCACATTCTCTCCAAACATTGGTTACTCACATGAGTTATATTTTTCTTCATCTAATGGAGAATAAACATTTTTGACGTAACTCCACTTATGCCTTTCTCCCACGAGCAGTGCGATATGTGTTTTTATGAAACATTTGATGTTTAATTTAACAATCAAAATATTTGAATTATCTGAAGATAAGGAATTAAATATTTAACTTTATTAATTTGTGTAAGTAATTTTAATGTTTTATTATTATTTTATAAAAATGTAACTCAAAGAACGAAATCCAAATGGAATTATTTTTTGATAAAATTCTTGAAAGCTTATTCTTATTAAATAAATAGCAAAATTGCACGATGGAGGTACATTTATACATAAGAATTAATACATAGTATTTTTAGTATTGCGAACGATTTTCTTTACCTTATCCTTATATTCTACTTGCTTAAATCGTAATATTTAACTTTCTATATATACAGAACTAATCTACTGACAACATACGAACATCGATTTTTTTCACGGTTCAAGTTAGTTAACCAATAGTTATCATTCCAAACCAACTTTCACCAGGATCTGCCACGTAATACACTGACTTGAAAATCATGCTTCCGTGCAAAAATCAAATCTATTCTCTTAAGTTGAATTGGTTTCGAAATGTATTATAATAACGATTAGATATTCTACATTAAACGTCCGGATGAATTTATTTCTTGGAGTTAAGACGGCCAGATCTCCTTGTTCATGAATCCACAAAATAACAACACTTTAAGTTTGCCATTTCAAATGACGTCATCAAATGCGCGTGGTATCGCAGTAGTACATGTTCAATTTGAGTTCGAAATGTGTAATTTGGTAACTAATTCCAACCTCATAAGAGCATTTTTCCTGTCACGCGGATTCTAATTCTCGCGTGTACTTACTCCGCATGCGTATAGAACACATCTAACGTTTTAATGGACATTTTTAATGTCACGTGCTCTCTATCTGGATGCGTTTGGCGACACGGTATCTGTCATATGTATACATGTATAAGGCAAGCTAATATCTGGAAAATAGAGTAGCATATACTTAAAATACGTGCCAGTATCTGACAGATATAAAGTAAACATAAGGTGTATATAGGCAAATGACATTAGTAGGGTTAGCACGATAGGCCGCGACCATCGAGTATTTATCCAGAAATAGAGACGAAATGTCATTTAATTTGTTTGAAAACTATTCTGCCGTATCATTACTGTGACAACTGCGCTCCGATTGGCCAGCCCGAATGACGGGTGTCGTCAATTGTTTCACTTCAAATCGACAAGTTAACTTGAGCTTTGCTATAATGGATTAAAATTGCAAAATTATATATTTAATTACCGATGAAATTTGATTCCGTTTGTTTCGTAATTAGATGTTTTGCTATTTTTCCCCACGCCACCGAATACAGCACGCCATTGTCAGAGATATTTTCTGTATTACAATAAATACAAAATATTTTTGGAATATACGGAAACGTGCACACAGGTCAGTTGTTGGCGCTGTCTATATTTCAGTGCAAACGAGAGTTGATATTTATAAGTGATGTATCACTGATGAGTTACCAGGAGTGTATGGCCCTTATCGTCTCAATTTTGGTTATATACTCGGCCGCGACTAACACGAGAGCGACATAGAAGCGCGAGATATTGCTGTAATCTATGGGAGTATAGTAGTATCTCGCGCTTTATGTCGCATTCGCGCAAGTCACGCCCTATCGTGCTAGGCCTACTGTACGCGAGAATAGCAGTATCTCGCGCATTATGTCGCTCTCGCTCTAGTCGTGCTAGCCAGCTAGCTAGTATTATGCGTATACACGTAAAAGGGATGCCAGTATCTGTAGTGCCATTCACGTAAGTTCAAGCTATCAAAATATCGTTGAAGTTACGTATTCGTTCGATCGAAGTCCTATACTAAAATTCACGTATCACTTGAACGAACGTTTATATGAATAGAATCGAAACGTAACGACTAATGAACGACATCTTGGATTGTGAAATTTGACATTTGTCTTCTTGTCTATTGAAAGAACTGTCAAAATTTTAGCAGAATACGTATGACTTGTCGTTTAGAGTCGATTTAAGTTGGATTCATATACCAGAATACGCTTTAACGACATTTGGATCGAACGACTTTAAAACTGGACTCGTTGACGTTCTCAGTCGCACGTAAATACGAAAAAGCAGTTCAACGACTAAATCACTACTATATCGTAACGGTTTGATTACGTGAATCATCCCACTGGCATTTGTAAAGTAACTAGCATGTATACACACGTAATCCGTGTGACAGGAAAATGGCCCTAAATATATTTAAAACGATCCTATATACAAACTTATTGCTACTATATTCAGGAATATTCACAACAGTTTTGGTCGAATACTGCCATGGTGCTATTTACAAAGTAAATTACAAATAAAGTACCAAAAGACATGGTTTAAAATTAGTTAAAAAATATTTTTATGGCACAAAGCAATTTGGCACGTTTTGTATGGCACTCATGAACTCACTGTTTTATATTAGAATACTTTAAAATGAAGTGTATTTAAAAGTAAATGAGAGCGGCGTATGGATAATAACCCCATTATTCAGCACACTTGTCGTCCATGCTGAAAATTAGTAGACTTTTCACCCTTAATTAAAGGAATGAGGGTGGCACTAGTTAAATACATTTATATACCTACCTATTTCGTTTAATCTAAATAAATAATAAGGAATGGTTAGGCAATAAATGTTTCATCGTCTGTCTTAATTCGCCCTTTTCCATCAACTGTTCTTGACATCTTTATCGTATCGTAAAGTGGATATTACTAGCATTGTATAAGGTTTCTTGTGAAAATTACCCAAATAGTGTGATTTAAATAGGGCGTTATTTATTGGACTTCACTATTTATTTTCGAAATTTATTATACTGATGGCATGTTTGACAACTACATAGCTACTAGTAGCGACTAGTCTATTCAAGGTGTTTAGGCGGCTCCGAATGCGGCTGCGGCGGCGCTGGCGCATCATGCGGTAGTAGCGACAGCGGTAACGGCGGCAGAGGCAGCTGGAGCGGCAGTAGCGCCCTGGATTGGAAGCTGGCCAGGGAATGTAACAGGGCGGCGGAGTGCTCGTGAGCCTTGCGCCGGAGTTCCGCTACGCTCGTTGATCGCGCTTCTTCTTTCGGACAGCACGGACAGGGCGCACCCCAGCCTGTTTGAAATAACACTACATCAGATATATAAAACATGTCAATGTCTCAATATTTGTTGGTGATGTAAAGCAGCATGCCTACACTTAAAGCGTGTGCCAATATCTATATTATGTAGGTATACACGTAAAAGGCATGCCAGTATTTGGCAGATGAGAATAGCACGCGTATATACGTAAAACGCGTACCTACCATTATCTGGATGGCATACGTATTCACGTGAAAGGTATGCTATGTTTGTTGCTTACCACTACAATTTCCTTGTATTTTCCGGCTTGTAGTAAGCCGCCAATATAGAGACATTTACCACAGTGGGTCTATTTTCGAGTTTTTCGAGGTTCCGGATTCAATTCCCGGGCCGGGAGAAATATTTGTATGGTCTACATTTATTTCTCTCGCGGATTTGGGCGTAATTTGTGATTATCTGCGTGTGTCCTTGGCACCCGTGACGCAGGGTTTCCCTACTGCGGGAAACCTACTAAAAAAAAGTTACCACGCCTGTCAAGCAAGTTGGCAGCAGAATATTTGTGATTTTTTTTATATAAAATGAACCAACGCTTAGCTACAAATTCACCAGATACTAAGCGACGTTACGCTTTGTTTTGTAATTCATATTCAGCCCTAAATGTAGCTTTCAAGAAACGCAGATGCACACGCTGTGCATTCCATTTCTTTGCCCTACTTATCATAGCAAAGTGCTTTGTGTAAGTGGGTGATAGGTTTGTGACGTAAAGATATGACATCACCGTAATGATTCCATACAAGTTGCGTTTAAATCATCGCTTTACTGAAGTGGGACAGAGAATTTCCCCTTATTTATTTTATTTGCTTTTCTCGGTTAGCGTTTCAGCCACTTACAAGGTTTTTGATTTCTTTTTTAAAAATGGGAAACTTATATTATAATAATAACATTTGTAAACGGGATTATGAAGGTGGAGAAAGATGAAAAAACGATCAGGCAAGGAGTTGTGAGATATAAATAATAATAATATAATAATTAGTGTGTGTAAATACAGAATTATTCATTAAAGTTGAGATTTCGAAAAAGGAATTCTAAAGTCGACTCTTTTGTCCATACCCATTGTATAATTGTAAGTCAATGTCCATACCTATCATTTTCTGGATTCGTTATTATACACCATTTTATTTTTACTTTTTTTAAATAGTTTTTGATCAATAAATTTTTTTTAAGCTTTGGGTAATTTTCAGGTTAGTTTTCTCTACCAAATTTCGGTGGCAATTTTTATTGTTTAAGTGTTGTAGAATATTATCACAAAAAGTATTATTTAATTTACGAGTATAATATCTTGAAATATTACTTATTTAATATTTCACAATATACTTGAGTAACAAAAATTGCCGCCAAATTTACGTAAATTAACCTGAAATTACTACTACTAATGATGAAAATGCAAAGTGTCACGAATTATGTCCGGGAGTCATTGACTTACAAATAAATGGACGACGGGTCTAATACAAAAACCACGAAAAAAATGTCCCAAGTCAACCTATTCGAAATTTAAATTGTAATGTCATCGCAGTATCGCTCTGTCAGTAGAACAAATGAAGACTAAAGCGGAGTTTGGCGCTTTGTATACGATTTTAGCGCCTTACAAGTGCGGATACTTTTTAGCGCGGACCCGCTGTCCATATAATTGTAAGTCAATGCCGGGAGTGTATTTATTGCTTACTATATATAACGGCCACGCAAAGACGTTCAAGAATCTATACTACCTCAAATAGCTTTGGTTGTTTCCGCACAACAATGAAAGTGTTGAATCAATCACTTTCGAAAAAATATATCGTTAAATTGAGAATATACAAGTAATTATACTGTACGGTGTGAAAACACGGTTCCTAAAAATTTTCACGATAGAAAAAAAAGAAAAAGAAGTTTTACAAGAAAACCGTTGTATTCAATAGGTACTATACATGTGCCAATTATTTTTTTAATATCAACTGAACTAAATAGAACATGTATATACTATTCGATATACATTTTTGAAAGGGCTTTAATTTCGTTCGTAAAAAAATTCATTCTGAAATAAAGCCAGTAATTCAAGCAAAATGAAAATTTTTAATTCGAGTTGAGATAATATCATTGACTTACAATTATATGGACGTCGGGTCCGCGCTAAAAAGTGTCCGAACTTATAGGGCGTTAAAATCGTATACAGAGCATCATTCACGCTTTAATCTTCGTTTGTTCGACTGACAGCGAAGCAAGCAAAATTAGACAGTACTGCGATGACATTACAATTTAAATTCAACGTTTTAGCTTTTTCATATTCCTTTACATGTCACTACGTTTAAATAGGTTGACTTGGGACATTTTTTCATGGTTTCTGTATTAGACCCGTCGTCCATTTATTTGTAAGTCAATGGATAATATAGATTATTACTTACTGACTTAATCAATCAAAATTGAAAGTATAACATTTTTAAATACGTGTTACGCACCCGTGTTAAGAATAGTTTTAAATCTTACTTTTCAAAGGGAAGAATGGCTGTGACAAGTGGTTTAGATGCTGCGAGAGGTGAGACAGGTGCGGTGGCAGGAACAGCGGTGGAGGGGCGCTCGATGGCGATTCGTTGACGCCACTGCCGGGAGACGAGCGAAACGCGCCCGAGCTGGAAAGAAAACGGTTTTTTAGAAACGTTAAGCACCTAATAATGATGATTAATACACATTCAAACAAGAATAAATGTTTGGTTACCATTTATGCGCATAGAGGTCGAGATATTCTTCTGCAGCTTGCTCTAATTGATTGGCAAAAAATACAACAATATGAATTTCATCGTTATAAATTCACTGCAAATCATTTTCAGGAGACGAGTTTGTGTGTTTTTCATGATGCAGTGATAGTTTAATATATTTTTTCATTGACTTACAATTATATGGACGTCGGGTCCGCGCTAAAAGTGTCCGAACTTATAGGGCGTTAAAATCGTATACAGAGCGTCATTCACGCTTTAGTCTTCGTTTGTTCGACTGACAGCGAAGCAAGCAAAATTAGACAGTACTGCGATGACATTACAATTTAAATTCAACGTTTTAGCTTTTTCATATTCCTTTACATGTCAACTATATTTAAATAGGTTGACTTGGGACATTTTTTTCGTGGTTTTTGTATTAGACCCGTCGTCCATTTATTTGTAAGTCAATGTATTTTTTACATATTTTTTATATTAGATTATTGATATTATTTCATATAAATTGGTTAAGGAGCTGGCTTATAAGAGAGATGACTGCAGGATGAGCTAAGGCGTCTAAGTCATACTGCAGTCCAAGAATAGAATGGAATACGTTTATTTGCCAGAATACAGTAACGATGAAGGTCTTAAATAAAATTAGGTACATTGTATTCAACCTGCAAGCAGATGTGCAAATATTAATTTCATGTTTGTTTGTACTGTTAATTGCACTTCAAATTAATGTAAATTTTTATTTGAAAATTCAAAGTATTCTTCAATGTGTCAAAAGCCATTTTGTCAATTGTAATTTAAAAGTATGTCCTTGCAACAATTTAATTTCATTTGGCAGATTGTTGTAAATAATTATATACACGTTGAAGCAGTTTTTCTTATAAATTACTTTATGGCAACGAGGTTGGTACAAAAGATTCATAATTTTTGCTCTAGTCTGCCTTTGATTAATTTCACCACGTGTTTTGATATATTGAGGATAAGTTTTGACAAATACACAGATATCTCTAATGTACATGCATGGCAAAGGCTGTATGTTTAGTTTTTTGAACAGCGGTTTACAGCTGTTGTCGAACTACGCATTTTTTAGGCTTTAATTTTTCTTTTAATGAAATACAAGTTGTCAACAGGATTGCCGAATCCTCAATATGTAAATAGAAATGTAGGCAGGTGTAATTAATTAAATTTTGCAATTGCACGATATATTTTTCATTTTTTATTCAGCATAAAATATGGCAATAAAGGTCAGAATAGATGGTATTATAATCTTTATATCCATATCCACCCTCCATCTACTGCAATCGCTGTTGTAGATGGAGGGTGGCCTCAGCGTGGCCCGCTGAGACTGCCTGTCTTAGCAAGTTTAATGTACTGGTTGTCTCTATTCGTATATTATTTTATTAATATTACATTATTAATTACCCTGCGACATATTTATAACAAGATAGCAAATAAATTATTTAGAGCTTCACTGATAAATAATTTTAAAGTAATTTTTACAACAAGAAAATAAATGGATGTACAATATACTGGGTCATTTGTAAAATACTAACAACCTTGCAGGATTATACTACTAACATTATAAACAACAACTTTTGTTCCATGACTTTACAAAACAATAAATTTACCAAAAATAAACTTTTTAGTTTTTATAATAGGACCTACTCGTATATACACTTTTAAATTGTTGTACTAACATTTGCAAAACTTTAACAAAATGGGAATAAACGCGTTTAAACACTATAGTACCGGCACGCTATGATGGCCGTTTTGACAGATTACAATAGTGAGATCAAATCTCAATTCATTATCGAAAAAAATATAATCAAGTGCGAGTCGCATCTAAACGTTTTTAGATTTATAACTAGTATTGTAAGGGGTAGCTGATTAAAAAGTTTGAATAAAACGAAAACAAAAACTTAATAAATCGTCAATTGCAAATTGCTTTATATTATATATATATTATATACCTATATTATATACTTATTAGTGTTTAAATGCGTTTATTCCCGTTTTCATATGTTTAGTCGTTTTTTAGATTGGTATTTTGTACTTTGGCATACACAAGCACGCACGCACACACCGCGAGCGCGCGCATTCATACACACACACACACACACACACACACACACACACACACACACAC